AGCAATCATGCGCATCCCGTGTGCAGAATGATGCACTTGAAGCAACACCAAGTCACAGCACGCAATGCTTCACATTGAAAAGAACATAGCGAAGGGATGGTATCTATAATCTATGCTTAGTAGGGCTGCACGATTTGGGAAAATGTCATATTGCCATTATTGAGCCAATATTGCAATTGCGATTTGCGACTCCGATATAATAAAATGGTTTCATGAGTCCAACTTGCTTGGTTCTAAAGTAAAATGCACACACAGATTAATGTTTATTTCTCAACTCAAACTAAAAACAACAACAACAATAAATGATTGATAACACCTATAATGATCAATAAACCATCAACCAAACCAACATTACAGTGATTCCATCAATTGAAAGCCATCAACTTTTAAAAAAATTATTAGGCTTAAAAAAAATATATAACAGCTTTTAAATTAAGTGAACTTCAAACAATCCCCACATAAACCCATAATAAAAAACATATTTACCTGTGCCCTTCCTGTCTTAACAGGTACAGAAATTGAATAAAGTTATCAAACAGTCTGCGCTGCCTGAATCATAAATTATATATATAATAATCCTTATTAAAGCTACAAAAGTTCTTTACTCAAGATCAGTGAGTAATTTTTCTAATTTCCCTTTGTTCTTTTAACTTTACTGAAAGAACGCTTTATTCGCTGCTGGCCCTTTAAGAGCACCCGTTGCCGAGACGCGGATCTCACACGCGCCTCATAGCACAACCTTTATCCATAGACTTTTCTTATGTTATGAAGATACTAGACAAAACCACATTTTGCATAATTGTGTGTGCTATTGTTCGTTCAAGCTCGAAAGAGAACTGTTTATTCTGGGCTGGCACACGGTCAGTGCATGCGCATTATGCGTATCATCTAATCTAGGGCACTCACAGGCAGCTTTTCACTTCTTGTCGTGCAAAATGCGAAAAGGCATTTGAACCAATAAGAGGGGGATCTTGTAACACTAGTCAAAGGATGACAAAAAAGAAGAGATGCTGCGCTAATAGCCCTACTTTGTTTATTTCATATAAAATCGCGGCATTTTGCGTTATATAATTGCATAGGTTTGAGATCGCTATTACGACTGCGATATAATTAATCGTGCAGCACTAATGCTTAGTGTATTCTAAAGGGCAATAAACTCCACTCCAGCAAGATAGTCATTTTATGCAAATCATAGACCTTTATGCCTTATCTACAAATAAAGTATAATATTGGGAACATTGATCTTGAAGAGAGTGTCGTCGTGTTACTGTCGCAACCGAACGCAACGCTGTGTGAATGCTGATGCATGGAGAATGACTGAGGCGAGATGACTTTCCGTTAACTTTAACTTAGAGACTAAAATATTAATTTTACCACACATTAAGCTATTGAATGACTTTAGAAGTCTTGGAATATAGTGTGAAAACTTGATTGTGCTTTACAGTTTTTTATGCCTTTAGTGGGGCTTAACAAAATAACACAATATGCAGAATGTCGGACGTCACTTATAGGCTAAACTGTTTTTATAGATAAAACTAGGCTATTTACATTCGGCAGTCATGAAAACAAATCTCAGATAACGGTTGACTAGGTAACAATGTGTAATTTTGCGCCGGAGTTCTCCTTTAACTTACATTAGCTAGCTAACTACGAACGAGCTAACCAGATAACATTAACAAATTGACAAGCACTTACTGGGCAGAATGGCTGGCTCTTCAAATGACGGACGAAATTGGAGGTTGTCATCTGACTGTCCGCGATCTTAACGTTGCATGTCTTGCAAAGCGCTGTTCTTTTGCCATCTTGTTGTAAGAAATTCTTGAATCCGAAAGCGACCCTCGGTATCCCTCCGGCTGACATGTTGATGTGATCTGATGTAAGTGGGCGTGGTGTGCGCGTAAGGTATGAGAGGGCATGACTGATGATCTCTGATCCAGTCATGACAGCGCTATTCTCAGCCTGCGCTCCAGCTGGATCAACTTTATTTTTTTTACATAATTTATATATTTTATATTCAAACTGAAAACATGATGTGATTAACACTCAAGTCATATTATTACATGCAAGTGTGTTTGATTTATGGACCAAATTTTCAGATCAAGTTTATGGACCAAGTTAATTTAATTAATAAACTAATTATATAAAACTATTAATGCACTACAATTAAACTGGTTATATGCCTTTACTTATAAAAAATAAAAAAACTTATTTAAAAAATACCAGGCTTAAGGCATTTATTTTTTATGCAGGCCATACACACAGGAGTGAAATGGTTAAGACCCCTCCCCCTACAAACACACACACATACACAGACAGGCAAAGAGAGATGTAGGCTCAGATTGAGCAAGACCACATTCAAACAAACATATCTGACTTTCTGTGGGTCCTAGCTAATGAGTGTCAATTAGAAAGTTGTCCGGCTCGAGGAGTACAATATACATACCGATTTTTGTAACTGTAGATAAAACTAACAACCCCACTTTTTTCAAAAGGTGGCGCTACTGAGCCCTCACCACGCCCGTTTCTGAAACTTTGCACGTGTCTACTGGCTAATAAATGTGATGTGTCTGTCGAGTTTCATGCAATTTCAAGCATGCTAACGGTCTCAAAAGCATCCTAAAAGAATGGTAACGTTTGATGCGTCGCCACGGCAACAGTTTCAAAGATATCAAGAATCCATTCACAGGTCTACATCTGCCGTATGTTTACATTATACAGATGACGTTTGAAGCAAATCGGGTAAAAATAAAAGGGTGATATCAAAGCATTTTGAAAGTGACACACTTCCTGCTGCCAGTTGGTGGCGCTATAACTTTGACTCACAATAGTCACATCCATGTGATCGGTCTCTTACAGCGAACACACTGCTGAAGTTTCATCAAGATCAGTTAATGTATGCTGAAGTTATAACACACTTCCTGTTTCACGTTTCTCGCCATGATTTCGTTTCCTCGCCACGGCCAAACCGTTCGAGATATAAAAAATCCCCTCGCAAACTTTCATCCTCAATGTCTTGACTTCATGCTGACCGAGTTTTGTCGAATTTGGATCAAAGCTCTAGGAGGAGTATTTAACATTCCATTGCGAGCGTTTTACAAACAAACCTCAATAGCCGACTTCCTGTTGGGCTGGGGTAAAAAGTAAAAGCGCGAGGTATAGATGAAACTATGAGATCAACATGTGCACCGAGTTTCATATTATTATATACAAACGTGTTTGAGTTATGGACCAAGTGTTCGGACCCCGTTCCAGGGGGCGCTGACGAGCCGCCCTGCCACGCCCGGGTACCAGCTTCAGCCCGGCTCTGATGGCCGCGGGTTCTGACCCATGTGCAAAGTTTCAAGAGTTTTCGAGCACGTTAAGGGCCCCAAAAATGCCCAAAAGGTTACAAAATAATAATAATAAATAATCCTTAGGAAAACAATAGGGCCTTCGCCCTTTCAGGGCTTGGGCCCTAATTATAATAATAATAGTAAAGAAAAATAATCCCAAGGAAAACAATAGGGCCTTCGCCCTTTCAGGGCTTGGGCCCTAATAATAGTAAAGAAAAATAATCCCAAGGAAAACAATAGGGCCTTCGCCCTTTCAGGGCTTGGGCCCTAATAACGATTTAATTTCAACTATTCGTTTATTTCTCCCTCTGCCTCGAGTCAGGTTACTAGTTTAATAGCGTAAGCTTCTGTTATTGTACGTCACACGCATCACACACACATGACCAGCGTCGGCCAATAGTGAGCCTACGTGTGACGTAGCTTTACGCTATCACACTATGGTAACTGACTACAGGCCCATGGAGAAGGAAGTGAATAGTTGAAATAAAGTCGTTATTTTTGTTTGTTTTTGTGCACAAAAAGTGTTCTCGTCGTTTGATAAAGTTAAAATTGAGCCACTGAAGTCACTTGGACAATTTTAACGATGTCCTTTAATGACTTTTCGATGCCAGCAAGTCATTCCCTCAAGAAGCCTATGGACTGTATGCAGGAGCGATCTTAATATCTTAAATATCTTAATTTGTGTTCCGAAGATGAACGAAGGTCTTACGGGGTTGAAACAACATGAGGGTGAGTAAATACTGACAGAATTTTCATTTTTGGGTGAACTATCCCTTTAATGTTGTTTACATGTGGTGTTTGTTTTTAATATGGTTTAAGACAAACCATGTGTAAATTCATGAGTCGACAGCATTGCTGAGTATTTTCTCCTTAAAATATTTCCTCTTCCAAAAACACGGTTTGAAATCACTGGTGTTTCTGACGTCACAAACTACCTTGTAACCAATCAGATCAACGTGTGATCGTTAACGAGTGGATCTCTGAGCTGAGTGAGTGAGTGGAGGCTCATTTACATATTCATAGAACCGTGTATATTAAATGAGGCAAGGGTGTCGGGTTACATTCAAGATACTTAAGGCATGACAACATTTATTTTCAAGGAAAAAACTTTCAATATGTCATTTTTGTGATCAAAGATGAGATTTAAGGCTACAATTTCTGACTACAGGAGGACTTTAACAATCATGTTTCTTTTATTCCTTTATCTCTCAAGATGCAGGCAGAGACACTACCGCTCAAATATTTGGGTTTTCTGAAAGAAACAAATATTTTTCTGCAGGAAGTTCATAATAAATTGATCAAAAGTGACGATAAATGCATTCATTATGTTTCAAAGATGTTTCTTGAGCATCAAATCATCATAGAGTGATTTCTGAAGGATCATGTGACACTGAAGACTGGAGTAATGATGATGAAAGTTTTGATCACAGGAATAAGTAAAACTAAAAAAAGTTAATAATATCGCCCATTATTACAGTTTTTACTGTATTATTAGTTAAATAAATGTAGCCTTGGTGAGCTTAAAAGACTTCTTACAAAAACAATTGACCAACCCCAGACTTTTGAACGGCAGTGAACACGGACAGTCCTTGGCCTCGTGGAAACTAGATGAATGTTAGACACACAGATCTCATGTTTTGACACATTCTTGTTCCTAACTAAACATTTCATGTGTTTATTCAGGCTCTGGAAGAGAGAAAGGGCAAGGAAAATGCCACTCAGCAAAGCACGCTCAATTTCAGATGGAAAAACAGACAGAAACCGTAGACGGACAAGCGGAAAAACTGGAGCGGGCTCTGCTGGATGAGTGTAAACCACTTCTTAGAAACATCCTCACACATTGGGAACCCAAACCTGAACCCGTAGACAATCCTGATTCAAGCAACCTAAACGTCGCAACTGCATGTTTAATTCTCAAATGGGCCCTGAAGACATTGTCCGAGAGCCTGTATGATGACAGCAGCACCTCAGCTCTTTTAAAATGGGTGAATAGCGTCATTCTGCCGCGCTCTGCTATGGTGGACACTGTTCTGTCTGATGAAATCACCAGAAAGGACTTTCTAAGGTTATATCACCACACAGCGCAAGAGCGTGGCTCAGCAATGGACACCCTTCAGCTGTTCTCTACAGTCATGGTTCATTTGCTCGAGGCGCGCGGTGGGTTACCCGACGTCATCCACCAGACGGTGTTACGAACCTGCTTGCCTGCGAACACAGAGGATGGTGCCAAGAAAGGTAAGGCTACAGCCACAGCAGTCCATCCCATCCCAGAGTTTTAGCACTGAGGCCTCAGATTTAGCGTGTTCACACAACTGTGTTCGTGCGGATCATTTGAATGAGTGCCATCCGAACCTTGGTGGAAAAAAAAGTGGACTGAGAATGACATTTTCCGGGGGTGTTGGTCCGCCTCCAACAAACTCTCAGGGGCCTATCATGCACAAGTCGCAATGCAGTGCCGCATATAATTGTTTTCAACATTGATAATAATCAGAAATGTTTCTTGAGCATCAAATCATCATATTAGAGTGATTTCTGAAGGATCATGTGACACTGAAGACTGGAGTAATGATGCTGAAAATACAGCTTTGATCACAGGAATTAATTCTTGTTAAATACATTAAAATAGAAAATAACTCTTTTAAATTGTAATCATATTTCACAATAATACTGTTTTTGTTTGTATTTTTAATCAAGTAGATGCAGCCTCCTTGAGCAGAAGACACGTCTTTTAAAAACATTAAAAATCGCCAAACTTTGAAACGGCAGTGTAGATATTTGTAATCAATTACTAAGTGAATATTTTTGTACGGTACAGTTGTTTCCGTCACATGCAGTTCTTCAAGTGATGAGTTTCGTTCACTCACTGTAATGATATTAGAGGTAAACTCAGTTTAAGAGACTCAAAGATGGTCACGTGTGCTATTCCTCTGATGGATGGATGGATAGTTTGGTTTATGGCTCTTTTATTGAAGAATGTGTTTAGATGATGAATGGGCAAAATGATCTATGATCACTGTGGCATATGTTTCTCCACTGAAACATTGTTTGTTTGCTTGTGTTGTTGTCAGAAAGCGGCCTGAGACTGCTGTCCCTGTACATCTATGAGCTGTGGAGCGGCGCTCGGTCACCTGACCTCCTGCTGACCCACGCCAGGCTGATGCGCTCCAGGACGGCCACGTCTCACACACTGCTCATGTGCAGAGAGATCCTGTCTGCGCTCGACCCCTGACACTGGTAATAGAAGATGTTTGGTGGATCTTTTTGAAATTTTATACATTTAAAATAAAAAAGATGAACAGAACTTTTGTTTTGTGTTTGTTTTTTTGCCTATTAATGATTTCAGTATGATTGCATTTACATTTTTTTTTTTTTGGTACGGCCAAAAACCCCACCCAATATTTGACCGTTTTGTATGGAAGCTCGTTTCTGCCACCAATGGATAAATACAGCGAGTTTGTCTCTCACTTCAAAGTTTCAATTCAAATTCAACGTTTTTGGTGCAAAATGTATACTTTTTGGCCCCACTGTAAGTTTTTCTCTGTTTTTCTGAATTAACGAGTTAATTACCTCAGAATTATGAGAGAGTTTTTCATGAAAATAAGTTTTTTGCTCTGTTTTCTGAATCTATGACTTGATTATCTCAAATACTATGAGTAACTATTCATTCATAAAAACAGAGTGAAAAAAATGATTATCTCGTAATTCTGAGATAATTAACTTGTTAATTCGGAAAAACAACGTTGATTTTGTTTGTGAGTGCAATACGCTTCCGTATTATCTCACCATTCAGACTTTATTTATTTATTTATTTTATTTATATCTTTATTTGACATGGATACAATTACATTGGACGAAACCATATGCATTTGTTTTAAGTGATTATAGCATACATGCTAATTTTCAACACCTGTCCACGGGAGGCTTTTAAAAATAGAAATAAAATACAATAACAAGGAAAAAAAATGTAAATTATTGGGTAAAGCATTCCAGAGTTTTGGCCCCTTTACCAAGAAAGCAGACTGACCAAAAGAGGTCGTACACTTTGGAACTAGACAGTCCAAAATTCACAATTGTGATTTATACACAATTGTGTATAAATCACAATTGTGACTATTTTTCAGTAAGGCTAGTTTATATCTCGCATTTCTGACTTTATGTCTCAGAATTGCGACTTTATTTCTAAAAAAATAGCCACTATTATTTCTCACAATTGCAAGTTTAATTCTCACCTTTTCTTGCAATTTCAAGTTTATATCTCACATTTCTGACTTTATTTCTCAGAATGGCGAGTTTATATCTCGCACTTATAAATTTATATCTCAGAATTGCGACTTTATGTCTCTGAATGGCAAGATCATATCAATTACGAGGAAAAAAAAGTCCAAATTGGTGGATAAAAAGTCGCAATCTCCTTTTTATTTTCTGTGACGGAAACGAGCTTCCATGGTTTTGAGATTACCAGCTCAAATATTAAAACTGTCAGTCATTTATTGACATGATCACATGTTAATATATCATTTTTTTAATATATTTGTAGTCACTTTTTAGTAAATCCTGTACGTAATAAGTGTTAAAATTCAGAAATATTATGTACATCCGATTTTTCAGCACCAAATCTAAATGGTATACAGTATGAGATGGACACATTGATCAGGATATCATGGTTTAATGTCAGATTTTTTTTCTACAGTGTGTGTTTCTTCATGAAGTTGCTTCTTATTGAGGACATCCATAGCTTTTCATCAACGGCAAGCCTGATTTTTTGACACGAGGACCCCTATAAACAAACACAAATATAATAATATTCACTTCGTAATATATTTGTTGGTCTTCTGTTAAGCTTTAAAGGCTGTAATCAATTAGCGGAGTACGTCTACATTCAACATTCAGCAGTAGGAGAATTAAATTCAGTTAGAAACCATGAACAAATATATCTAAAATGACCACAGGGTGATCAATATAATACAAATATTTATACAGTGAAATGAGCTTTTTCATTCTTACCTTGGTAGTTGCCCTGTGTGTGATATAAGAGACAGAATCAAGAAGAAGCAGCCGATGAACGCAGCTAGGATGACCCAGAATATCAGCACAACTGAATCTAGAGAGAGAACGAGTTAGACGTCCCGTCGGCTGACCTGTGATCCAGAAGAGTTAAAGGAGCTCACATCTGTTGTACTTCAACGCAGTGGCGTTCACAAAGACCGGGTCCACGTAATCATAGTAGTACTCGTAGTCCAGCACGTACTCGGATTCAGACTCCGTGGCGTTCCTCATTGTGATTAAATCCTTGATCCCACCCGGGAGAATCACGGCTTTAAACACACAGTCAAGCCACTCCCCCTTTCACTATACAGTCCTCTTTTCAGATAAGAGCACAGTCCGTGTTGGTTTTTGGGGAGCCATGTCATCGGCTGGTGTTGGTCCTCCGGGCTTTATTGAGGTCAGAGTCAACGCAGACGTCTACCACAGACAAGCTTTATGGAGCCAAAAGTACCAAAACCTGGTTCAATGACCATGGGATTCCTGTGCTTGATTGGCCAGCAAACTCTCCTGACCTGAACCCCATGTTAGAATCTATGGGGCTTTGCCAAGAGAGAGATGAGGGACATGCAGAAGAGCTGAAGCATCCAACAGCTCTGATCGCATTCAGCCTGAGACTCGAAACAAGCACTCAGGACATGATTAGACTTTTCAGAGGGCCGACATTTCTGTATTTAAAATCCTTTTTTTTTATTGATTTTATGTTATATTCTAATTTTCTGAGACTTTGGATATGGTGTTCATAAGCTGTAAGGCATAATCATCAAAATTATAACAAATAAAGGCTTGAAATGGCTCACTTTGCATGTAATGAGTGTATGTGATATATTAGTTTCACTTTTTAAGTTGAACTACTGAAATAAATGAACTTTTGCACAATATTCAAATTTTTTGAGTTTCACGTGTAAATCTGATTTAAACAGGAACATTTATTATACGGGTGATTTTCTCTTCGGTTAAAAAAGAATTCATTAAATGAAGGAATTAATTAAAATATTTATTATTATTAATTTAAATATTATGTATTTGTTAAATGACAGATATAATAATACAAAAATATATAATTCGTGTTTATACTAATACATTCTTAATAATTGTTAATATTTCTGAATATTTCTTATACGGGTGAGTTTCTCTTTGAATGAATGGATGAATAAATGAAGGAATTACTTAATAAATAAAATGATTATTGTTATTACTGTAATACATAATAATAGTATTATTATTTTTGGTAATTTGTTATTATTTACTTAACTATTGATAGAAATAACAATAATTATAATTAGAATGATTACTAATTATGAATGCTGTTTATGAATATAGGATGGTATTATTTATTTTCTAAATTATAATTACAGCAACAATAATAATAATAATAATAATAATTATTATGATTATTATATAATTGATCATTATTTAAAGAAATAACAGTAACAATACTTATTATAATTAATGATTATAAATGTAATTATAATATAGACTTAATGAATGATTAAATCAATAAAAAAATTATTATTATTAAGTTAATATTTTTTTAATTTCTTTTTTATTATTATTAAGTTAATAAAGAACATTATTACCATTGCTGTTACCAATGATTTATAATCAATTATTTTAATACTTATTATTATTTGTTCAATAATGATTACAACAGCAATGCTAATAATAATTATTATTATTGATGTTTGTTTATTAAATAAAGATAATTATTGTTAATAATAATAATAATATTATTTTATAATAATAGATTCATACTATTATTATTTATGTTATTTCGTAAGAATAAACAATGATCGTCAGAAAGATGCGGGTTTTTTATGCTAATAACTACTAATGAATTTTACGATTTTTTTTTTTTTTTTTTTTTGGTGAGAGCTTTGAGTCAAAAGAATCATTCAATCCAAATATATCTAGCATCCAAAAAAAATCTATTTGTGCCCTAGTTTACATAATAATAAAATAAAAATAAACTCTTTCATCATCATGTAATGTAAAGTGTGTCTTCCTTAATTTTTATGTAACGGTAATTTGGAAAAACTATAAATGATTCTTGCTTTCATTATGTTTATGATTAATGATTTTGTGTTCAAAAACGATCCGTGATGGATTTATGATCACAACTTTTGCATTGATAATAATAAGTTGAGACGTCTGGCCAAACCCATACATAAACCGACCAATAGTGAGTGAGCAACACGAATGATCCCGCCTCCCGTGCGCGATTCATCCAATCACAGAACACGATGTATGTTTGAAACGGCCAGTCTCAGATCACATTACATGGACTTCAACGCTTTTACAGCTGTTTGTACATTTTCGAAGTTTCGTTTTCAACCGATAAACAAATAGAAGTCATTTCATCGAATTTTATAAACGAAAACTTTTAATCCACAATCAGTATTTTACCGAGTATAAAATATCCGAGCTTTCGCGTTTGTTATCACTGCACAGCATTTAACGCGTTTCAGTTGCAAACGAATATGTGACATCAGAGTGTGGCTGAAGTTAACGTTATTTATTCACCCGTTTTATTAAAGAAGACTGTTGCGCTATGGCGGATGGAGCGTGTCTAAACGCAAGTAGTTTGACCTCTCGAGCAAGGAAAGGCAATAACGGCGTTTCAATCCCAGCGAACATGAGGAGGAAAACTCGACAGAGCAACAGACGAGACATTCATAACCGGGTATGAACAACACGACTCACAGGCCACAAAACTCAACCACTCTTCCTGTTTTCACATTCATCTTCATGAAGTTTGTTATAAGTTAGTTGTTGTGTCGTTCATATACAATTGTACGTTGCACACCCTGTTTATCGCATTTCACTGACCAGCATGTATGAGATGTGTTGGATGTGTGAAAGGTTTGATAAAGTTGTGTTGTGTTTGCAGGTGGTCCTGGAGAAGGTCCTGGGCATCAGTGCCTCCAGCAGCAGTGCTTTAACCTGCGACCACAACACGGGCTTAGTGGCCTATCCTGCTGGGTAAAGTCACGACTGGCTCTATACGTGTTTTCTGTGTTGAAGTCCACATTATAATTCACTCAAAAACAAAGACTGCCATTCACTCACACACTTTCTTTTGGTCTTATTTTGTAAAACAAAAAGTTAAAATTTGAAAAAAATTTTTAAAAAATGTCCTGACTGCCTTTTTCCTTGTAATGGAAGTGAATTATTATGACTGGAGCTGTCAATCTCAAAACTGACAGGCCCAAAGTAACGTTAATCCATATTTTTCGTGTGTTGGGTGTCTCTTCTGAGGACATGGCTTTGTGTGTTGGCAACAAACCGAAATTTGCTGTAGCTGTCAAAGATATTTGATATGAAGAACCATCATTGATGACACCACATTTGATATCAAAATGTGGTGTCATCAATGATGGTTCTTCACGAGTCAATGGCGTTTGGTGCTATACGAGTCAACTTGTGTCCGTTTCCTAACTTATAACGACTTAAGAAGTTCACCCAAAAGTGAAAATTATCCCATCATTTACTCGCCCTCAAGTCGTCATAGGTGTAGCCTACGTGACTTTCTTCTATCAGCCAAACACAGTTGGAGTTATATTAAAAAGGTATCCTAGCTCTTCCAAGCTTTATAATGGGAGTGAATAACAGATTTTTAAGTCCAAAAAAAAAAGCACAGCATCCATCATAGTAATCCTTACAACTCTTCACTTCAGAAGGTCTTTATTAACACCCTGGAATCATATGCATTAATTTCATAATGGGCTTTTTTGGACTTCAAAATCTCAGGTAACATTCACTCCCATTATAAAGCTTGGAAGAGCACGGATATGGTTTCATATAACTCTGATTGTGCTCGGCTGAAAGAATAATGTCATATACACCTAGGATGTACCATAAATCGGAGATGCATGCACTGATTGTTTTTGTAAAAATATTACCATATCAATTTGAGCCTGAATCAGACCTGGAGAATATAGATGAAGAGAATCGATTAGAACCTGTTCCAACACAACTTTTGCAGGATGTTTCACAGTGTTAAGCTGTTTATTTAATTAGTAGTTGTCATACTTTTAATTGGTTAAATTGTAATGTTAAATGTTACAAACTGTTATAAAAACTTGTGCTATACGTTTTTTTTCCGTCTGTCGAATTAACGATGGTGGTGTTGAATTTTTAAAATAAGTCCATTATTTATTCCTACCTCAGTTACACGTGTGCACGAGTTTTGATTTGTAATATATGTTTTATAGGTATTCCTGTGGGCGGAGATTAGTCAAAAAACGTTCTAATTACGTCATTAAAAAAGGAAGTAGAGGGATCCAAACCGGACGTTCGCTGTAGGCTTTGAAAGGGCACTTCTGTTAAATAAAATATCTCGCTAGTCATTGAACTTTGAGCTTTATAATTTGACCGGTATTATTTATGCTCTAACAGCAACATTACACACTAGCTAATGCTTGAAAATTGGAATTGCAAAGAACGGGACCTTTAATTTTTGGGTGAACCATCTCCTTAAATCTTAGTTTGTTGCATAATGTTTTCTTATGATGTCTGAAGACTTGAAATATAGAGTTGTATTGATGACTTTTATTGTCCTTTTTTTATGTTTTGAGCTTGACCGCTCCAGTCCTTATTCACTTTCATTGATATGGAAAAGCCTGCAACCTTTTTTTAAAAAGTGCAGCAATAGTTGGGTCAACAGGAGTAAATGACCATTTTTGATGTTAAGTGAACTTTAAACTTTCGTGCAACTTGTGGTTATTCTGCTTGGATGCCGGTGGGAACAAGAGAGAAACTTAAACTAGTGTAAAATAAATGAATAGTTTTGTTTAGCATGGACACATTAAAGGAGTAGTTCACTTTAAAAAAAAAAATTTGCTGATAATTTACTCACCCCCATGTCATCCAAGATGTCCATGTCTTTCTTTCTTCAGTCGAAAATAAATTGTTGTTGATATATGCTGGTTTTCCATATAATGGACTTCAATGGGAACCAAACGGCTCAAGGTCCAAAAGACAGTTTCAGTGCACTGTTCAAAGGGCTTTAAACGATTCCAGACGATGAATAAGGGTCTTATCAAGCGAAACGATCACTCATTTAATAAATAAATAACAAAGTTTAAGTTTTATAAGCTCAAATGCTCGCCTTGCTCTGTTCTGTGACGCGCGTTCGTGACTCTCCTGTTTGAAATCGTTCATCAAAATGAACAAATCTTTTTCGAGTCATGACTCAAAGGGTCCTAGATAAGACCCTTATTCATCGTCTGCTGTCGCTCTTTTGCACTGAAACTGTCTTTTGGACCTTGAACCGTTTGGTTCCCATTGAAGTCCATTATATTGAGAAAATCCTGGAAAGTTTTCATCAAAAACCTTAATTTCTTTTCGACTGAAGAAAGAAAGACATGGACATCTTGGATGACAGGGGGGTGAGTAAATTATCAGCAAGTTTTTTTTTAAAGTGAACTACTCATTTAAAATGATGAAAGATGATAGTAAAGACATTTTATAATGATAAAATTTTTTTTATTTTAAATAAATGCTGTTTTTGAACTTTCTATTCATTCAAGATTCCTGAAAAAAACGCATCCCTGTTTCCACAACATTTTTAGTAATTGATAATGTTGTAAGCACTGAGCACTAAATCATCATATCAGAATGATTTCATCAAGTGACACTAAAGACATCAAAGAAATGAATTGAATGATACTTTAATTACATATTGATAATTTCACAATATTACTGTGTTTTAATCAAGTAAATGCAGCCCTGTTGAGCAGAATAAACGTTTGAACAGTAGTAGTAGACCTGTGAACTAACGCAGCCACGATGTTGTGTGTTTCAGTTGTGTTATTGTCATCCTGAGCCCAAAGAAAAACAAGCAGACTCACATATTTAATACATCCAGGTAAACAACACGCGTATTATATTTATTTCAGTGGCATGGTGTTGTACATTGAAACTGAATTAAATCCGAATCATGTGTTTGTTGCTCAGGAAAACCTTCAGTGCCTTGGCTTTCTCGCAGAATGGAAAATATTTGGTCACTGGTGAGGTAAGTGTCCTGAGATGTTTAACGAGGGCCAGAAGAATGACGACTGTGCCGAATGCCCTCGGAGGCAGGCTCTCTCTGATTCCTACGGTTATCTTCTGTGTATGTGGTAGAGGAGGGCTTCTCCCTGCGCTCCGACACATTCCTGCTCCCGCTCGTCACAGTGAGGCCCAGTGTCTGTCCCAACTTGGAAAACCAACTGTAGCGACCGCAGATCATGCAAATGCTTTGCTTTTTTTAGGCATCTGACTAATAAAGCTGCGTGTTTCATATGGGAGCGTGCAGATAATTAGAAGAATAGTTCACTCGGACAAAAAACGTTATCAGAATAGCCTTAAATGGGTTCGGAATAGCGGCGATGCTGAATTCTCAGTGTGATGTGAAGGATTTCTTCACCGGTTTAAGTGTGAGCGGAGTCACAAGATTCAGATCACTGCAGCTGCGTTTGGAGGAGGATTAGTCACCATTTAAACTCTTGAAAGGCACATGTTGTCCTACATTCTCTGACACATGGTTATTTATCAGTGGCTGCTTTTTCCACTCATGCTTTTTCTCACTATCTGACCGTGTTGAGAACTAGTAAATGAAAATCAAATGTAAAATGGCATACTGTCATACTATTTCTGCAGTGTGTTAGAATAACATGATCCAAACTGCCTACTACATAAGGCTAAATTATTGTTTTTAATATAGCAAAGGCTTTGGGCTGTGTGTCCACCAAAGCGTTTTTAACCTGCTGAAAACGCCAGACGCTCTGCTGAGGACGCCGTGCTTTGGGCACTTGAGAGCGTTTTGGCAGCGCAGTGAGATATAGAATATCCGCAGCACAGTTTACTTATAACTGATTTCGCAGATAATTTGTTTCATACTAAAAATGTATTTTTCATCCATTTTGTTCGGTTAGCTCTGCTGGTTGATGTCGTTGTACAGAAAGAATTTGGTCAGTTTGGTTTTAGTCCCGCCCCTCCTCCACTGTGATTGGACAGTTGGGTAAAAAGTGATGAGCGCTGCGTTTTATCCAAAGTTGAATATTTTTCAACTTTCGGCGACCAGTAAAAAACGCCGGGCGCTCAAGGTTCAGTGTGAAAAAAAAACAAAAACGCTCAAGCCGCCTTTCCACTGCACACGACAAACGACCGCCGTCGGACCGGAAGTCATTCATTTCCAATGGAGAGTCGTACGGGAGCTGCGGGGAGTTCCGATCATATGCGTATGCGGAAAATTCGGATCCGTTTTGAGCTTTGGATCCGTTGAAATATCTGAACGTCTGCGGCTAGACCGTATGCGACTGGCCAACCGGAAGTGATGTATTCTTATAAAAACTATGAGCGCGAGGCTAGAATTACCAATATTTTAACTCTTTAATGTTTTTCTGTAAACGCTCGCTCTGTAAAATGTTGGTTATAATTAACTATAGCAGAAAATATATTTTATAATTATTAAACCAATATTTATACTACTATATTTTTATTTGAGATGAATTGAGGGTCATTTGTTTTGTGTAGATATATTCTTGCATGCATTACATTTATTAAAATCATTAATTTTACCATTGTGAATATCCTAGGGTAACGGTTGCTTCACGACCAATTTCAAAGTTCTGTGCGACTGACACTAGAGGGCGAAATGCGACAATCGTATGCGAATGTCGTGTGCAGTGGAAAGGCGGCTTCAGTGCCGCGTTACGCTCATGGCGTTTAATCTTCAAATGGTCTACGTTTCCTGTTTACAGTTCTGGGCTTCGGGGTCTGTACGACCCCAACAATTAATTGAGTAATTGTACAAAAAATATAAATTTTTAATCATACAAATTATATATAATTTTTTTTTGTTTACTTCTCATCTATTCATTAATGCTGTGTTTTTGGAGATATAAAGTACTTTTGTATCCATATACCACACAATTCCTCAACTACACCATTAGCTTGCATATGAAATATTATTTTTTGATGCATTGCATTTATGCTCTAGTACTAGGCCTTCATTTCTGTGTAAAAAAATTTCAGATTGATGCCGGATTTTTTTTTTTTTTTTTTTTTTTCAACATTTCCCATTCATTTCAATGTGGGGTCATATTGACCTGAAGACCAGAAGTGTAAACATTTTTTTTTACATACCTTCAGAACAACCGAATCAAGCCCAGTTTGTGTGTGTGTGTGTGTGTGTGTAGATAGATAATGTGTGAAAAGTCACAAAATCTTATTCAACTGAGATGAAGGGAACCTTTTTTTTTTTAGTAATTTCGATTGGGGTCGTATAGACCTGATTGAGGGCTACAAAACGCGGCGCTCCCATTGAAAACAATAGAAAACGTACGCCAGGCGCGTGGAAAAACGCTTTGTTGGACACACGGCCTTATGTATAGAAAGTCATGGCGTCACTGCAGCTGCTGTAAGAAGCTCCTATTGCCATAACAACATTCAGACAACATTCAGTGTTCTGAGACGCGTATAGAGTGCCTGAAGTGATGATGTCACTTTGTAGGACAATTCGGAAGCTAGCGGCACATGGGTTCCCTCGGTCGAAAAGCTATCTATTTTCCTCATAGACTTTTGGAAAATCGCAAAAAGTAAGATCTGTGTTCAACAAAGGGTTGTGACCCTTACATGTTTTGTCTAGCAAGATAATCTTTACAAGTTAATCCAAAATTTATACATTTTGAAGCCTATATAAAGATTTTAAAAAACACAAGCAGACACAATAAAGTTTAAAAAACCACAAGCAGATTATATAACTGTTTTATGTCATAGATCAAAACATGAAAATATTTAGAGGTTTTGTTCACCACAGACCTTATTTCAGGCGATTTAGCAAAAACCCATTTAAAAACTCCATAGACTTTAGAGCGAAGGAACCGGGAGTGCTAAAATGCTAACTCACTTCCGCGTTTTGGCCTACAGAGCGACGTCGTAACTTCGGCACTCTATTTGAGCATAGGAATTAGGAAACACTTATGGGACAGTTGATGTCAGGTTTTGTTGCTGATTAGAAATGTTATTTAATTGTGAGTTTAGCAAGCAGTTTTGAGATTTCAGGATTCCCTCATTCAAGTAGACAGGACTTCGCTGCCCGGAGGTGTCGCAAATATGGCCGCCGAGTCAACGGACTTTCCTTCGAAAGGAACTTTTTAATATAGTCACGTTTAATCTCTTTATTGACCACAATAGAGCGCATGTCTACTTTTCCAGCGGCTGGTTCTCCCATGAAACATTGTGAATGACATTTAAACTCTTAACAAATATAAAGCGATTGTTTTAAATGCATGTGTGTAGAAGCAATTTATTCAGTTTATTGCAAAATGTATATAAGATATTTAAGCAGCTTTATAGTGTAGGGATGTTTTGTGGTGTAAATAGTGTGGCAAAATAACTATATAAAATGTAGACACAAGATGTTTAGTATGTAGTACAAGAAAAAAAATGTGTCATTTGGGCCACAGCTTGACATTTGCGTCGTTTGCAGTGCATTGTGGGCTGGGCTAAAGTTCTTTTAGAGTGATTTGCTTGATTGGTGGAGATTTTTGCAGAATCATGGGTAATGTATTTTTTCACCATAGATGCTGCTGTTAAACTCGACGGTTATGTAAAAAAAAAAAGTGAACTGATGGCTTCTACAATGGTATATGTAATCGATGAACAACCTCTTAGCCTAGAGTATGTCTGTATACAAGTTAGCATTTAAAATAAATTCCCTAATTTTGCAAGATGTAAACAACACTGGTCCAGAAACACTTCCTGTTTCAGTTTGTAACTGTTTTCTTTATTTCACATGTAAAGAAAACATCTTAAAGATGTTTGTTTAACTTTTTGATTCAGTTTTATATGTTCTGTTGGTTGTATTTTATCCCAGCTTGTATGTAGTGTTAAAAACTGAAACAGGAAGTGCTTCTGGACCAGTGTTGTTTACATCTTGCAAAATGGTCTATAGAGGAAAAAAAATAGGCTTATTGACTCTCGTAACCTGACTGTTGCACTCTGTTGCACTGTATAGACAAATCTGGGTGTCGGGGCTCACGTATTTATTATGATGATTTCATGCATTATTTTTCCTCCTCTTGATCTGTTCACTGTGTCTTTCCCTGTTGCTGGGCAGAGCGGGCACATGCCCTGTGTGCGTGTGTGGGACGTGGCAGAGCGGGCGCAGGTGGCAGAGGTCCAGTGCCACAAGTACGGGGTGGCGTGTGTGTCGTTCTCCCCCAACGGGAGCTATATAGTGTCTGTGGGATACCAGCACGACAGGACCGTCAGTGTCTGGGAGTGGAAGGTGGGTTTGACCGTGGTCTGCCATTAATACGTTTTTTAACCCAAGAAAAGTCATATTGGAGATTTCTTAAGATTACAAAGATCTAAAGCCTAGTTCACACTACATGATTTCAAAACATCGGGCTGAAGTGTGCAGTTCACACTATATGACTTGCTCTCTGTGAAATCAGGAGTGTTCAAGTTGTTGAGCCGTTCACACCAAACGACACATCATGATTGATCCGCAACTGGAGCTGACGCACTACAGGATTTGACAACTCTGTCACCCAACGATTCAATCTCATCTACAAGCGTTCGCAGGGATACGGCCCTCAACAGTAAAGTTTAGAATTAATAAAGAAAATGCATTATTCATTAATTCTCAGTTATGCACCCCCACTAATTCTTTTGTTTTAATTCTCTGTTTCAAACTAAATATGACAATTAAATCCTTGAACTGAATATCCTCTTATTTCACAATATAATATATCACAACAAACAGAATTACAGTAAGATTTAATGTACATTTCCAATAACATTTTGCTCACTGTTTGAGGGCGTTTGTGATTTCTGTCCACCTTTTCTCTTTCTGGATGCGGTTGTGGTACATCTCATGTCCAACATCATAAAGGCATTCATGCTCCTGCCACAGTTCGATTCAATTTTGATCTAAATCTTGAGTCCATTGCTTTCTTGACATGTTGCTGATCTTTCCGCAAACTCCTATTGGACGTGTTTGTTCGAAAATTGCGTATTTACCCGGTGACCTCAACCCATACCATGCTCTGATTGGCTCTAGCTCATGACATCACTGAGATTGAGTCGCGCGACAGCTCTGGATATCTAGCATGCTAGATATTTTTCTGAGCTCGGTGACGTGTCTGCGAGCTGTCTTTGATGCGTTGTTGGCTCTTTCATACTAACAGATTGGCGAGCGTTAATCGCCCGCGATTTGCACGCGATAACACCCTGACTTGTCGGTGACTTAAATCAGGCTTAAAATCATGTAGTGTGAACTAGGCTTTAATCAACATTGTGCTTGGTATGTTTTTCGTCTTCAAACCGAACTTGTGTCCAAAGTTTAAATCCCGTCCGGCTAGAGCTCTTCCCACAATGATTATGCGTTACAGGACATTCGCTCGGAAAGACAGAAGATTGCATGCGGAGTTTCGAAAAGGATCCAAAACAAAGAGATGAAGGAAATGTTGCTTTGTTCACTGTATCGCTCTTCTTCGACTACTACAAATCACAACTGTGCTTCTGTCTCAACACATTCACCTCGCACATGCGCTGTTGTGCGCTCACTAAAACTGAGCTACCCATGGATGTCCGTGGACCCTCATGATGATACATTGTTGCGCGGATGGCTGAATTATTCTATAATATTGTGATCCATAACCTGAATTTAAAACCAAAATCTATCACTTGTGGTGTCACAAACAAGCAATTGTTTGTTATTGTGAAAGCTGAGTGACTTTACAATATATTCAACTGACTTGCTTGCTCTTGTTCTCAATATAGAGATTATAGATGTATAATATTTAGGGTTGTGAATCTTTGGGTAGACAGCGAATCGATTCGATTCACGATTCATAGGTTTTCGATTCGATTCATGAACGATTTGTGCAAATTCAGAACGATTCGATGCGATTCACATCCAAATTCGATGCGATTCGATTAATTCGATTCGATTCTTAATTTTTTATATGCATTATAGTATTATTTCAATGCTTCACCCATCTTTGTCTGGGTTTGAATTAGCCTACAGCGGCCTTCGGGGATCAGATAGTGGGGATTTTGTCCATTGTTAATGTTAGTTCATGTTTGTTTTTAATTTTAATGAATATATTATTATAAAAAAAAATTCAATGGCCTACAAATTAGCATTTGCAAGTAGCAAATATTTTGAAAAAGGCTTTTAAAGTATTGCATTAAATGACTACATGCACAAATTAATGGAGACGTTTACATTAGTTTCATTTTGCGTCCTCTCAGTGCACTCGTTATCATCTTTTCACTGGATTTTGCTCGCGCTCGGTCCCATAGCTCTCATGCTTTCATAACGTTAACTACAGATTTTTGAGCAGTCCATGTTTGAGCTCTCCAGCTGAGCTCTCTGTCGAGAAAGCAATAGTTTTGAGGCAAACCGCTCAAGCCATTGATAAAGCTGCCATGCCATTGCGTGGGCACTATGAAATAAAACGCTTTTATTCATTTATTACATGGACTCTCCGTACACGCAAGGTGGTCTCTCGCTCGCATTCCCTCTCTGCCGAGTGCGTAAAGCCGTGTGTGAACGCGCGATACGCGGTTTGGAGCACAACCTCTGTCTCGTATGCACGCTCGCTCTAGATTCCGGGAGATTTTAACTAATTTGCGGTAATACAAGCTGATCACGACATGAGTAGCTCAACAGGTAGAAAGATAAACTCATCTTTCAGGCATTTGACCGACCGGGCTTCAGCGTGAGAAATCAGGGGTGTGTGAGCGCCTGAAACCAATCAAATGCGGATGTCGTATGACTGCCAATGCGTGAGGCAGCTTGTACCAGGAACACTTTAAGGTTGTGTTTATATATTTTAAACCACTGAATCGCTATAAAATCGTGATTAATTCGATTCTTAGCCTTTTAAATCGATTATTCACGTAAATAAACGATTTACGATTCAAAATACATGTTTCAGGATCGATGCATATGCATCGCCAGGATTTATAATCGATGCATCGAGAAAACGAGTGAATCGTTACACCCCTAATAATATTATCTACGTTATATTGCACCATGTTTAAAATCGACACTTGATCGCAGATGATCGCAGCTCGCGTATCATCTGGAATTTTGATATTCCCAATTAGTAATTAAGACGTCACTCACTCATTCGTTAATGTGCTCTGAACTCAAAATGAAGATATTTCTGACTCAACTTGATGGCACGATAACCTCTAGTGATGTTTGTTTAGGGTGTTTAGAGTGAATTGTGAATGTTAACGTGTCCCGTCCAGGGAGCAGTGGATGCTGCATTGGGAACTGCCAATCGGGACGCAGCTTGTGAGTTTGGTTTACAATAATATGTAAATAATGCTTTTTAATCTCCTCCTTGCTTGCAGAAGGGGACTGTAATCGCGTCCAATAAGGTGTCCAGCCGTGTGCTTGCTGTGTCGTTCTCGGAGGACAACAGCTACTTTGTAACGGCGGGGAACAGGCATGTTAAGTTCTGGTACCTTGACGCCTCAAAGGAAAGACGGGTGAGACGCTGGCACATGTTGCTACACAATCCAGTCTACATTTAGTCTTCAATAGCATTATTAAAATGAATCTAAATCAAGACTGTGGACTTTGAGGTGGGCTTTAGGGACTGGGACAAGTAATGACCCAATAAGGCAAACAAACATATTCTGTGTATATGATTATATTATTGTGTGCTATTTATAATGTGCTGCGACACACTGAGGTGAGAATAGCATCTGAATCGAAGTGTTTAGCGCAGTTTCCTTTGTCTGCCCACATCCTTTCTGTGACTGGGTTTTTGTTTTGTAACATGCACACGGTTTCTTCATGCCATTTGTGGAGATGTCACCTGTTGTGTCCTGCAGGTGAACAGCACGGTGCCTCTGATTGGTCGCTCGGGGCTGCTCGGGGAGCACCAGAACAGTCAGTTCTGTGGTGTGGCGTGTGGCCGCGGCTCGATGGCCAGCAGCACCTACTGCATCACACACACGGGTCTGCTGTGCCAGTTCAACAGCAACCGACAGCTGGACTCCTGGGTTGATCTCAAGGCAAGTTACGCACTGTGCCTTCATTTCATCACTGTGATCCATTCGAAACCCTTTAATAGGGCTGGGTTGACCAAATCCACTTGATTTTTTAATCCGATATCGATTCTCAAATCAAAACTTTACTAAACATTTAGTCATATTTCGCCACTCATCCAAGAAATGGCAATAAGGTTTGTTACTTTTGATATCAGAATCAGAAAGAGCTTTATTGCCAAGTGTGCTTGCACACACAAGGAATTTGTTTTGGTGCTGAGGCCTCCAGTGCACTTATACAAATGCAATAAGAAACATAGTAATACAAATTATGATAAAAAGATCAAAATATGAGAATAAAAGTATCACCGTTGGGTTTAGTCGGAATAAACATTTACACATTATGAGTGCATTTACAGTGTTTTAAATATTATCTACATATAAATATCACCTACATATAAATATAAGATATTGCAAAGTGTCAGCTGTCAAATTCTGCCCATTTTATTATGAAATTCAAATTTTAAATACTCTATAAACATGAATGAACATCAGAAGGTAACTTGTATATAATATACAGTAGTGGCCAAAAGTATTCAAATATTATATAAACAAAAAAATGTAATGACAGCCAAGTCAATAGTTTTTATGACACCAATTGTCAATAAAAAGGAATTTAATATAAACTTCTTATAAAAACTTAATTTTAAACGTTAATATTATTGTAATATACCAACTGACAGGGTTTCCTGTGTAGTTTACAGCGTTAGTTGAGATTTTGATCCTTGAGAATGAATTGACATATATTGCTCCTGATATATTTCCAAATGAACTGATATCAAATTGAATCGCATCTAATTGAATTGGGAAATTTGTGTTAATGTCCAACCGTACGTTTTTATCCCACATATTTTGGATATCTACATTATCTGACTCCTTTTCTGCAGTCCATTCCCGATTGCCCTTTAAACTTATTTATTTGTTTTTTTGTTTGTTTGTTTGTTTGTTTCAAACTGAAGCATGAATATATTCAAGCATGAATATATTTTGCTTATTGCTCTATATCAATAATGTTATAATGCCATTAAATTTTAATACACAATGAATTTCAGTTGATCATCGCATTGAAGAGATAAAACTCCACATCCAGACATGGATGATGATCAATGCGAGTGCCTGGATGTGGAGTTTTATCTCTTTAAAGTGATAGGAAAAACCTACAATTGTTTGGTTTAGGGCTGGGCGATAAAACGATAAAGATAATTATCGCGATATAATTTTCCTCGATAAAACGATATCAAGAGGTCGATAAATGTTCGATAATGTTTATGCGGCAAAAGCGGAACGAAACTCATGTAAACCGCGCGCGCCACACGGAGCATTTATCCGCTCGGGTCAAAGCATAGCTGTCAACCCTCCCGTTTTTTCCGGGTTTCTCACGTATTTTATCTCTGTTCCCGCTGCTTTCCCGTTTTAGTATTTTCCCGTAAAATATCCCGTATTTTTACGCTCTGATTGTGTGAGACCTACAAGCTCGGACCTATTCGGCTTGAAGTCGTTCATACTCGGATGCAGCCGCGCGCGCTGGCCGGAGACACATTGGCTGAGTGTGTCTCAGCTGCGTGGCGTGACCGTTTTTATTTTACTGTCTATGGTTTTTATTTCGGCACCCATGTTAACAGATTACACACTGCCTGCGTGACACGCGCAAACGCGTGCATGCTAGAAATGGAACCAGAGATGCCGATTTTTCACGCGACACGCAAGCGTGTTGAAAGCGTTTCCAGGGAAAAAAAAAAAGGAAAAAAAAAGATGTTTATATGTAAAAAATTTCCATTATTTTTGCCTATATATATTTTCATGTCATTTTTTTTTAACAATTGAGTCCTGGTGTCCACTACAGAGGTCATTGCATAACATAGGAATAAAATATCTTCTTTTTTTTTTTCATTTGTTTCTTATGCTCTTAATAATGTAAAAAAAAAAATCCCTTATTTTTGCGATGGATTCCGGGAAATCTCCCTTATTTTCAATGTTCAATGTTGACAGCTATGGGTCAAAGTCCAAATGGCAGTGCATGCATTGAGCGGAGCGCGAGCTCACACAGACACGCCTCTGATTGTTTTGCTCACGAGATCCAGTGAGAAGCGCTTAAGTTCAGCGAAGAACAAAAATGTCAAGTTTAAACCAGTTTAAAGGCAGATGAAACACCGCTGACAAAAAGGAGAAACACTGCGTGCAATGATACAGTCAGAATCTGTATTGATACTGAATCCATTTAGCCTACCATGGATTTACTGTAAGGTTAGCCTGGTAATATTAACTGCACCATGAAATGTGGGATATACATATTGAATTGTATAATATTATTAATATAGACAATGTATTATGACTAATGGAATATAAGTACAGTATTTAATAATGTATTTAACTGTTAGGCTATTGTTTTTCATACAAAAAATACAGAAACCATAAAGTTAGTGCCATGATAGTGAGGAGCTAAGTTATAGGCTATACCTGGTTTTATCTGTGGTTATCATGATCTAAATGCATGATACTGGATGACCAATGGTTAATTTGAATACAACTCAAACAGTCAGAATATTACTTTTTACCAAATAAAAATGTGGTTGTTGCATAAGAAAAAAACAACAAAAAACAGATGTTACTGTTTTTGTTAATGAACATAAATTTAAAGAGTAGTTTAAAAACAGAATTAACACTCTGGTTTATACAACTTTCACTTAGTTGCAAAAATCTGCCTTTAAACTTGAAAAAAATAAATATTTGACATATATCGTGATAATTATCGATATCGACTGATATAAAAAAAAATATCGTGATAATTTTTTTTGGCCATATCGCCCAGCCCTAGTTTGGTTTATTCCCCTTCCTGAAGCACCAACAGTTCCTCAACAAATCTGAATCTAATGTTCCTTGTAATTAGTTTTAATCCTCATTTAAAAAGTAAATTTGCATACATCCAGTAAGACCCTACAAAATATTCATGCATTTATCACAGAATATGTCTCGGAGACTATAGGATGCTATTTTAAAGTATGCTGTGTTTGTTTTGCGTCTGTAGACGACGTCAGCGCAGTGCTTGTCGGTGAGCGAGACGTTTGTTTTCTGCGGTTGTGCTGACGGGACGGTGCGCGTGTTCAGCCCTCAGGACCTGCGCTACATCACCACTCTGCACCGGCCGCACTGCTTGGGGGTCGACGTGTCTCAGGGCACACAGCCGGGGTAAGAGACGATCAGGAATACAGCTGCAAACGCCATACGTTTACACATTACTGTCATTTACCACATGCAAAAAACTAAGATTATGATTGTTAACTGTAATTGATATAAGCAAAGCTATATCTGATCCACAGTTTTTCTACTTGAAAACAGAAGGAGGGAAAAAAATGGACTATGTTTAGAGGAGAAACAAGATTTCACGTCTTTTCCAGTAAAATATTGTTCAAAGCTTGCAAAACAGAATAGGAAGGAAGCATATGGCTTAATCGTACCTCTCGTTTTGAACGTTTTTATTTGCTGCCATTATTACTAAAACTTGAACTCTCCGTACCAGAAATCCATATAAAAGCAACTTTCACACGCGTTTAAATGTTTAGAGTACCTAAACTTTTGCTTACAAGTTATTGTTCTTATTATGATTCAGATTATTAAAAAAAAAAACTCAACTTGTATTCCAGAAAATACTATACTTAGAATTCAGACATGTAGCTATTTCAAGTTTATTATAAAAGGAATTAGCTTTACTTGAAAAGTTAATTAAGTGATTTACTTTGCATTAATTGAAATAAAGTTTAACTTAATTTTTTTTTTTTAAAAACTTAATTTATTTCAGCTAGTGCTAAAATAACAAAAACGTAATAAAAACTATAGACATTTCTAATAAAATTACTAAAACAATAACTAGATTTAATATGAATTTGAAAATCCAAAATATTAAGAATAACTATAATAGTGTCAATGCAACATGTTCTTGTGGTTTGAATTATCTCGATTGTGTGATTGTTCAAACATTTTTTTTGTTAAACATTCAATGTAATTTTTTTCTCTCTTCATAGGCATTTGTTCGGTGCAAACCCAGAAGCACAGTATCCAGATACCCTGGCTTTAACCTTTGACCCTGTGACCAGGCACTTGACGTGTGTGTATAACGACCATAGTGTGTACGTGTGGGACGTGCGGGACATTCGCAATGTTGGGAAGGTGTATTCAGCTCTGTACCACAGCGGGTGTGTGTGGAGTGTGGAGGTGCGTATCTCAGACCAGCTCATGTTTAGGTTATCAGAACAAGGCCAGTTTATGAATGCATAATATCCTCTGCAGACCTACCCTGATCTTGAAGATTCATCAGCATGTCTGTCGCCCGGATCCTTCCTCACCTGTTCATCCGATAACACCATCCGCCTGTGGAAAAGTGAGTCGCCGCAGAGTCACGGCTCGGCTCTCGGCCTTCGACACAACCTCTACAGCCAGGTGATGATGATAATTCGTTTTATTTCGCCTTTCAAGACACTCAAGGACACCTTACAATAATAAAATATATTATAAAGATAAACATGCGTATTCCACCTATACTATACACTTTAAAAACTGGCTGTCTGACAATTACAGCTGCACACATTAATTTGACAGATGTGTTGTGTATTTAATGTGACATGATCATGCTGCCTGCCTCAATGTTATGTCCAGTATGTGCTTCAATGTGGCCTCATGTTTAGTATGTCTGTCCCCTCTTGACAAGTCCTGCTCTAAATATAATTGTATTATATTGATGTATGCCTATTGACAACTGCCCGGGGACTACAGCTGGAAATTAGCAGTAGGGGTTAAAGCTGCTCTTTTAATCAAAAGGAGCTGTCCACGTTAGGGCTGGGCGATATATCGAGTATGTACGATCTATCGTTATGTTTTTTGAAACGATATGGAATGAGGCAATACCGTTTATATCGATACAGTAGTTTGATATGAGCACATCTGAAAAATAGCGGAGGTTGCAGTGTGAGCTGCTGCAGTGAAAGTAGCAAGGCTACGTAGTACAATTTGTCCTAAACATGACACAAGCTTATATTAATTGCGTCAAAATCACTTTGATATAGTTAACAAGTTTAAGGCAGCTTGCCGCCCTGTCAAATGCTCTGACAGACACTGTTGCTGACTGACAGATATACTTGCGCTGTTTAATGCGTTTGAGATGTGGTGCTTTCCTCAGTGCTCAACTTACATTTCACAGGTATATTCTCCATCTGTAAATGTTAGAAAGTAAAGCAAATATGTCCATTTCACAACAAATATGTCCATGTCAGAAGAGGACGAGCTTCTGCAAGTGAATCTCCGCTAAAATTCATGCTTCCTTGAACGAGCGCCGGCACGCGCATGCGCGTGAATAGTACTACGTAGTACGCAATAATTCTGACTAAAATAAACATATTGCTAAAATATTTGTTGTTGGAGAAAATAAATGTGCCATATGTGGAATTTTAAACATACAAGTATATATGTTTAATGAAAGTGATTATAATGGGGTAATCAAATGCAGGCTAATATAATTAGTTTGTGCTTTTGTTTTTGTTTTTATTTTCATTTTTAGTTTAGCTTTTAGTCAATATAAAAACAAAAGCTTTTTGTACATAATATATTGCATAGCCTATATTATATTTGTTTCCATATCCTTCAATATCAACATTGTTTGTAGGATATCATTGGGCCGAATGTGAATATATATATATATATATATATATTTATTTATTTATTTATTTATTTATTTATTTTTTTAAATATAAAGATTAGAAAACATAGAAAGTACCGAGATATATATCGTATATCGCCATTTGACCAAAAAATATCGAGATATGATTTTTTGGCCATATCGCCCAGCCCTAGTCCACGTCATTATAAACTAAACTAAAATGCATAATTATACAAAAACGGAAAAGAAGTGATTTTGTAAAATCAATTTTCCCAGTAACATTACTAAAATCAATCAGTATAGGCTAATCTAAAAAAAAAAAAAAAGTTTTAAGACGTGATTTAAAAATTGAATGACTAAGATTATTACGTACACGCACTACTGTTAGACTCCACCGGGGCGGCCGCGGGACATCACAGTTTTCACAAATATTTTCATAATTCGTCTTTTTATTTATTTGTTATGGGTTCGTATGGTTTGGGGAAAATAAATAAACCCAGAAAGTTTTTGGAAAAGTCATGGAAATTGGTTTCACAAATATCTGTAAAATAGAATACATGTTTAATCAGTGCCTGAATTTCGGAGTGTGATTGCCGGTGTTCTGACAATTCATGCTACCCATCGTGATTTCCTACTTACCGGTTATGCGCATGTGCAGACTCACAGTTTTTTTTTTTTTTTTTTTTTTTTTTACAAAAGGTACATTTTCCTGTTATAATGTATAATTTCCCTTTAAAAAATGCTTACTACCATATGAATATTTGTACGGTCAGACAGCTGAAAGGAATAACTGAAAGTTTCAGTTACTAGAAGAAAAGGTGTACTTTGACAAGTCAAAGATGAATATTTTATGATAATTTTTACTTTTCACACCGTTTTAAAAATAAAAACAGTAGTCTACAGTATACAGTAGCTACTCATAACTTAGAATTGTATTAGAATTGTATTTCATACGACTTTAATCGGCATTCTGTGATCAATTCGCGCTACGGTAGCATTTTTCGACAAGGCAGCAAAAATCGACAGAACACCGGTAATGCGCTTAGTTTTACTAATGCGCCTCTTTTACCAAAACTAATAATATTGCTTGAACAAATGCAATACTTAGGGTTCATGACATTATGTTCACAGTCTTAGTCATCAGTTACCCACCCTCATGTCCTCCCAAAAGACTTTTTGTTCATCTTTCAAACACAAATTAAGATATTAAAGTCAAAACTGACCCTATTTACTTTGTTAGCTCATATTATTAGTCTTGTGGTGAACAATTAATGCAAGTTAATACACAAACTATTTTTTTTTTCTGTCTTTAATCAAAATCTGAAAATGTCCTTCCGCTCTGGAATGGCGTTCCTCCTTTGACGTCAGTTTGATGCCTTGGGTTGAGTATCCTTAAAGGGTTTGTTCACCTAAAAATGAAAACTATCCCATGATTTACTCACCCTCAAGCCATCCTACGCTTTCAAAAGGACTTTCTTCTTTCAACTGAACACAGTTATATTCAAAAATATCCTGGCTCTTCCAAGCTTTAAAATCGGAGTGAATATTACCTGAGATTTAAAAGTAATGCATACGATTCCAGGGGGTTAATAAAGGCCTTCATCATATAAATTGTCTCTTCAGAGGACTTGGATTAATCCACTTGATTCATATGGAGGAACAAAGAGTAAACGTTGACAGAATGGTTTGCCGGTGTCGTCTTGAGTTCATTGGTTTATTGTTTGTGAACATGTTCCAGGACATCGTAAGGATAGTATATGTGGATGATGACACGCAGTACCTCAAAGCTGAGGCTGAGAAAGCTGAGGGAGGAGGCCAGGATGGTAAATCTGGGATCAGGGTGATGGGAATCAGCCCAGATGGACAGCATTTGGCAGCTGGAGACCGCAGTGGGAACCTGAGGTGAGGGGAATGAGGCGTCTGTGCAGAGACCCAAATCCTACATCTATATGTATATATGCTGAAGCAATGGTCTCTTCTTCAGGATCTTCGGCTTGCAGTTTATGGACGAACTGCTGAAAATCGAGGCTCATGATTCGGAGGTCTTGTGTCTAGCCTTCTCTCCTATTGAGACCGGTCAGTGAGCCTTTATTTAATTACAAATGCATATTTTTGTAATGCGCAACTACTTTACTGGTTACTTTGTCATTGGCAAAATGAGCTTTCAGTAAAACTAGTCTGCCTATTCAGTAATAAATTTGGTGCTAACTTACCAGAGAGAACTGAGAAAAAAGGCTCTTTTGCCTAAGAGGTAGGAAAACACCCATAATGCACTGGACATGCTGCTGACTGAGGCCACTCCCATCGGTCTGCTATGGATACGCTTGACCAGAGTCAAATACGTTAGTAGGAAATTCCTCTTAGCAAACTTTAGGTCATAATGGTGTCGACTTTTAAGTTAGAGGAGGTTGACCATGCACTTGCAGCACTTCAACACAAGTGTTTTTTTGCAATTGGCAAGCCGAACGGACGTGACGCGGGGGCGTGGCTGGATCGACGATTCCATTTTTTTTTTTAATTCGAAGTTCGAGATTGTGAATTAATTTCTGTGACACCCTTAGTAGCTTTCATTGCCAGCGTGTGT